GTACGTCCGAACCCCCCCGCCCCCCCCCCCCCCAAAAAAAAATCCCTCTTTCCTCCTGTTTAGATGTTGCTAGTTGTAGTGTCACACATCCAGCTTGAATAACATCTGCAGTTTGTTTGTGGTTATGGGAAATAGTTTATGGTAGTTCTAGAACTTACAAGGATAGTGGCTGATGAATTTCTTATTTGCAGATGCAAACCTATTATTTCTCGACTCTCCTGTTGGAGTTGGTTATTCATATTCAAACATCATCTGTGATGACCCAAAAGGTCATCACTCGTTTTGAAAGTAAATTCGGTATTCCGAGGCCTTAAAAACTTCTTTTTGTCTCACCTCGATTTGCATGCACAGTCCAGGCGCGTTTCCGGGAAGTTTTTATGTGAAAACTAAGTGAAATATGGAAATTGGTTTTTAAAATTGAATAAAGTTGACTTTGGTCAACATTCTTCGTAAACGAACCCGGACCCGTGATCCGACGGTCTCGTAGGGTCCGTAATAAAATATGGGACTTGGGCGTATGCCCGGAATCGAATTCCGAGGTCCCAAGCTCGAGAAATGAAAGAAAATTATTTTCTGGAAAATATAAAGGTTTTTAGAAGTGAATTGATGTATTTTTTTGATGGTATCGGGCCCGTATCTTGGTTCCGGAGCCCGGTACAAGTTTAAAATAATGATTAAGTTGAATCTGTGAAGTTTGGTAAGAATCGGAGTTCGTTTGGTATAAATCGGACCTTTAGTTTAGAAAATAGTAATTTTGATGTTCTTGAGTGATTTCATAAATTTGAGGTTTAATTCATAGATGTTGATGTTATTTTGATGATTTGATCGCACGAGCAAGTCCGTATGATGTTTTTGGACTAGCGTGCATGTTTGGTTTGGAGCCCCGAGGGCTCGGGTAAGTTTTGGATAGGGCACGAAGTGAAATTGGACTTAGGAAAAAGTTGCTGGAATCTGATATTTTTCCCAGGCCTCTGATCTTGCAATTGCGATATCAGGCTTCGTATTTGCAAAGTTCTCAGGCATGGGAATTGCTACCCAGGTGTCGCAAATGCAAACCTAGCCTGGGCAGGCCTTGGTCGCAAATGCAACCCTTCTATCCCAAATGCGAGGTCGCAAATGCGACTGTTTTCTCGCAATTGCGAAGCTTACAGGATTTTCCTATGGGTTGCAAATGCGACAGATTCTTTGCATTTGCGAATATAGCAGATTTCTTAAGGGTTCGCAATTGCGAACCCCTGGTTGCAATTGCGACATCTGAGACTAGTTAATTTGGACTTAGATGCATTTTTTTTTCATTTTTCAAACCTTCTCAAAACCTAAACACTTTTGGGCGATTTTCTAAAGAAAAGTTCTTCTCCAAACCAATTGTAAGTCATTTCTAACTCATTTTCTTTAATCTATAACATCTTTTTACATGATTTCAACTCAAAATCAAGGATTTTCATGGGAAAAATTGGGTGTTTTGGGTAGAACCTAGGATTTTCAAATTTTGGGGATTTGGACCTCGATTTGAGGTCCGATTTCAAAACAAATTATTTGAGTTTGTGGGTGAATGGGTAATCAGGTTTTGGTTCGAACCTCGGGTTTTGACCATGTGGGCCCGGGGTCAATTTTTGACTTTTTAGGAAAATCTTTAGAAAACCTATTTTCATGCATTAAAATTGATTCATTTAGCATTTATTGATATTGTTAAGTAAATTGTGGCTAGAACAAGCGAATTGGTGGTGGAATCGAGAGGTAAAGCGATAGTTGAGGCTTGAATTGTGTTCGTGGCATTGAGGTAAGTGTTCGGTCTAACCTTAGCTTGAGGGATTAGGAGTTGTGTCTTATTTGCTATGTGTTAATTATTGAGTACGACGTATAGGCATGGTGACGAGTATCTATACGTCAGTATCAAGCATGCCTGTGAGTCTTATACTATGATAAATGTGACTCCGTTTCGTATTGTTCATGCTTTATATGATGATATCTATTGTTGAACAAGGCTTGTGGAAGTATTATTGGTAATTGAACATTGTAGAGTGTTGGCTCAAGTTGTGAATTGAGTTGTGGAAGTACCATCGGTACTTGAACATTGTAGAGCGTTGGCTCAAGTTGGGAATTGAGTTGTGAAGTAATTGTGGAAAAGAGAAGAGGTTTATGATATTGTCTCCCTTGCCGGGATGTTATTTCTTTTGATATTATCTCCCTTGCCGGGATGTTATTACTCATGATATTGTTTCCCTTGCCGGGATATTGTTGTTAGGCTATTGTTCCCTTGCCGGGATTCTAGTGTGATTTTATTGATTCCCTTGTCCGTATTGCTTTGTGATTGTTGCTTGGGTAAGGAAGAGTGTAAAAACACGAAGGGTGATGCCGTGCATGATATTTGTGAGAGAGTGTTAATGCACGAAGGGTGATGCCGTGTCGATGTTGTGAGGTTATAGCACGAAGGGTGATGCCGTGCCGCACGATGTACAATGCCGTGCCATGATATGAGTGATAATGCACGAAGGATAATTCCGTGCCACGATTATGTGAGGTAAAAGCACGAAGGGTGATGCCGTGACAATTATATTGATTCTTATGGTGAGGACGAGAGTAAAAGTACGAAGGGTGATGCCGTGCACTTGTCTTTGAATTTCCCGATTATTGCTGATAATTGAGTTATGGTGTTCTTTGCGTTTATTTATTGGTTTTCTGTTGTTACTTGATTTTATTGTGATGTTATTGATTCCCCTGCCCAAATTGCTTGTGATTGTTGTTTGGGTGAGAAAGAGTGTAAAGTACGAAGGGTGATGCCGTGCATGATTTTGAGAGTGTAAAGCGCGAAGGGTGATGCCGTGCACCTGTCTTTTATTTCCTGATTCTTGCTGATAATTTAGTTATAGTGTTCTTTACATTTACTATTGGTTTTCTGTTGTTACTTGATATTTTCCCGCAGCATGTTTCCCCTTCCCATCTTTAACTACTAGTTTCTGTCAATATTACTTGCTGTATGTGATATAACTGCACAGGTTTAATTGGTAGTCCTATCCTAGCCTCGTCACTACTTCGCCGAGGTTAGGCTAGACACTTACCAGCACATGGGGTAGGTTGTGCTGATACTACACTCTGCACTGTGTGCAGATCCCGGTGTTGTATCTTTTGGACCACAGTGAGGTTGCTGCCTTCAGTCCAGTGGCGGAGACCCGAGGTAATCCTGTAGGCGTCCGCAGGCCTTGGCGTCTCCTTCTATCTTTCCATACTGTTTCTTTTATGTACTTCAGAAACAACGTTGTATTTATTTTTCGGCCCCCTATTTGTAGTATTCTTAGACAGTCTGTGGATTGTGAGACCAATTCTGGGTAGCTTATGTTTATGGATTAGTATCGGTATTATTATTAAATTATTACATTTCATTCTTCCGCTTTATTATTTCCGCTGTTTATATAATATTTATTCACAATTGTTAAGGGATTAAAAATGAAAAGGGTTAAATAACTGGAATAATTGGCTTGCCTAACTTTTACTAGTAGGGGCCATCACGACTCCCGAGGGTGGGAAATCCGGATCGTGTCATCATCTCAAATTATGGC